CTGGCGACAGCCCCGCTGGGTGGGGGGCGCGGAGTGCGGGTCATGGGGCGGTTCTGCAGGCCCCGCCGCACTCTGGGGCCAGATCCAAGGGTCACAGCTCGGGACAGTCACCTAAGGGACCCGGGTCGCACGCAGGAGCCTGCGCAAGAGCCACGATCACGAGGGACGGGGACGCGGGTCCTGGGGGCCCCTATGCGGAAGAACGCAATCTGCTTTTTCTGATTGTCTCGCCTGAAGGACTGGTTTCATTTTGCAGATTGATTATTGCTGCGTGTGAGTGTGTGTGTGTGTGTGTGTGTGTGTGTGTGTGTGTGTGGTGTTTGGGCGTTAGATTTTTTTTTTAATGTACCTTGCTTGTCTAATGAATGTTTGATTGCACCTACATCCGGAGGCTGTTTTAATGAAAGGTAAAGGCTCCTAGAGGGAAATAAATAAATAAAGGATCGTTCCCCATCCCTGGGCACCTCCTTCTCCCAACAACCCTCCACCCACAGCTGTCTTCTGAAGCCTGATGCCCTCCCAGAAGAATTCTGTTCCTGTTTGAATGTTCCCATGTAAATGATGCTCTCCCGGGGAAATCACACCCTTCAATCGGTCACTCTCAGGGCTTTTATTAAGGGTGTGAAGGGGAGATGAATGAGGACAGGGAACTTGAAGGAGGGAGGGAGGAGAGGATGGAGGAGCAGGTGCCCTTCTGCTGCAGGCCCGGACTACTGCTTTATTCCCTTGTTGAGTGGCTGTTCTGTGCCAGGCTTTGTGCCCAGTGCCGTGCGCTCAGGAGAAAGCAAGCACAGGTCAATGCCAGTGCCAAGTTCGGTTCATCTGCTATTTGTTTAGCATCCCAGTATCAAGCCCAGACCCTGGGGAATTTACTGAATTTCAGAAAGCCTCAGTTTCTTCTTCTGTAAAATGAACATATTATCCCAGGATGTATTGGATTGATTAAATGAGACAAGGCACAGAAAGTTCTTAAAGCAAGCACTCAGTGGATGCTACCTGTGATCATCTCTTCTGTACTGAGCAAGTGTAGGGGCTATGAGAGGGGAAAGTGGGGGAGCACAGACCAGGGATTTAACAGAGGGTGATAGAAGGGCACCCCTCCAGGAGGCAGAATGCCTGTACTTTGGTCCCTCCTTCAGTCACGAGCTCTTCGGCAGGCACTGTTCTTCACTCTGTGGCTACAGCTGTGAGGCGAACGGACCTGGTTTATGTGCACACAGGGCTCGTGTGATCAGACTGTGTACCGGTGGGCAGGGACGGGACGCAGCAAACACAGAGCTGTGAGGCACCCAGAGAGGCCCCCACGCAGCCTGGCTTCCTAGAGAAAGGCAATTTTGCCAGACGAAGTTGTGGATGGGGCTGAGGAGTGTGGGAGGGATGGGAGCAAGAACATTCCAGGCTTGTAGAACGGCCCCTTGGCAGGAACAGAGATTAAGAGAGTAAAGTCACAGCGGATTACAGAGCTATTCTGCCATAGTGGTTAGAGAAACAGCTTTGGCTGGATGCCTGGGTTCAAATCCCAGGTCTGCTATTGGCTAGCTCTTTGACCTATCTGTGTCTCAGTTTCCTTTTCTGTGAAGTGAGCACATTTTTAAAATGGGTAACAGTTCTCATCTTGTTGGGTTGTTGAGAATGAATGAGACGGCATTTGTTGAGTGCTTAGCCCAGGCATGAGATTAGCATTCAATAACTGTTTTTGCTTGATTCTTCACTGTTAGTGAAGTTCAGACCATGGCATGGGGAGGGTAGAGATGAGTAGGGTAGAGGAATAGGAAAGACTTACAATCCACCAGAAAGGGTCTGGGCAAACTTAAGAGCAGTGGGGAACAGGGAGGGATGAGATCAAATCTCCGTCATCCTGGATGTCACGCTTGGCTCCTCTCACCCCCCGGGCAGTTCATCAGCAACAGCTCTCACTGAATCTTCCTAACCCATCCAGTGCCTGACCACTTCGTAACACTTCTGCAGCTCTCACCCTAGTCCAAGCCATCATTGTCTCTGCCCTGCAGTGCTGCGAGGTCCTCCCTGATTTTGCTTTTGTCCCCCTACAGTCTATTCTTCATGTGGCATTGTGGGGTCCTGCTGAACTGTAATATAGTTTGTGTCTCCCCTATGCTCAAATCCTCCGATGTCTTCAAATCTCATTCAGGATCAAAGTCAAACATTTTTTCTTTGGCTCACTGACCCTGTAACATTGCCTTCTGCTAAATCTCTTCCTCTTCTCTTACTCCTCTAGTGTTGCTTGTCTCTGGACTTCCTCAAACAGGAGCTTGAACTTGCTGAGCGTGATCTCACCTCAGGATATTGCACTTGATGCTCCATGCTCCCTTATTCCTTTCAGCCTGTTGGTGAAGGGCTTCCCTCCAAACCCCGCTATCCCACAGCAAGCCCATTTCCTGCTTCTGCATTCCCTGGTTCCTCCACTGCCGTGTTTCTTCCCACAGCAATTATCATTGTTGAATGCTGTATATTTAGCTGATCACTTATTACTGCCATCTCAACTCCGTATTGCAATACAAGTTGCACAAAGACAACAGTTTTATTTGGTTCACTGCTGTCCCCCCAGTACCTAGAACAGTGCCTGACATAGTGCAGACTCTGAATAACCATTTTTTGAGTAAAAGAATGAATGAATGGCTGGATAGGCACCAGAGATGGTCCACTCTGGACTCTACAATAAACAGAAGGTGGGGCCATAGTGAGGCAGGGAGAGGGATACGCAGCCTTCCAGTGGAGGAGAATGGTCTTCTCACATGGGCAAA